GTCCAGAGAGCATCTTCAGAACGTTCGCCTGAGCAGCTGCGGCGAAAACTTCGACCAAACCACCATCTGGCTTGATCGCATCCTAGCCGCTGGTCTGTGGCTGCCTGCCCGAACCGTTTAGGGGCGGCGCCGGGCTCGGGGCGCCGGCGTAGCCGAGGCGGGTCGACTGACTGGGGCTCGAGAGGGTTTGGGGCGAAAGGCTAACTCCGGCGGCGTCTGATGCCCTAACAACGTCGAGTAAGCAACACTGATAGCGATGGATCTTGATCGGTGGTCTCCTGGAAAGTCCCCGCGGTCGGGCTTGCGCGTGTCCGGGGAGGCGTGGGCCCTGGACTCGGAGAATGCAACTTCGGAAATTACATATCCAAGTCGCCTCAGGAGATTCGAGGCGCAACTGACGGGTGGACGGCGCAGTGCAATGAAGCAACAACTAACGCGGCAGGGCACTTTTTTTCCCGTGTCACGGCAGAGACAACTGCATCGCAGGCAAGTCAATAGGCGGCGCGAAGTGCCGAGCTACGCGGACCAAAGGCGGAAGCGATTTGAGCCGGCAGCCCAGCGGTTTCGACGTCTCCAGCGTTACAAGTAGCGGCGCTCGCGCGCAAACTCTTGCATTTGCATTTGCTCTTAGAGGGCGGCGCGTGATTCTGCGGCGGCTAAACCGAATTCGGCAAGTAAATGTGCAATCGCAGCGCGAGCAAGTCACGCCGCTCCTCATTTCCATTTGTGTAAGCGCAACGCCAAAACAGAGGCTGCACGGGCGCCCCTGAACCTGTTCATTTTGCGGTCTGATTCTCTGTTGGACTGGCAGCTCGGCGCCGCGAATTTGTCTGTGGCGCCGCTCGTGCTCGTGCCGACCAGCCCTGCTTCGGCTATCGCAGACTCCGCGTCGTCGGGCGCGGCCTCCTCGAATGGCCCTCCTTTCAAAAAGGCCCGGGGCGCCCAATTAGGGAATGGTCGGTCGACCGCTTTCCGTCCGCCTCCAGTTGCCCCCGCGGGGCAGGGCCCGCGAGTCAAACCAAAGGCAGGGGGCGGCCCCGGAATGCAAAGAAGCAACGGGCAATCTCTGTCACCACAGCCGACCTGACCAGTATGATGGGGAGCCAGCAGCCTGCTGCAATACAGCACTGCGTCGACGGTACATTTTGGCGCGGACGGCAAACGCGAAGCGACGGGCGCAATTTCGCGCTAATGCTGCGAGCATTGCGCGTAACGCCCGCGCGCATGCACAGCATTCACCGCGAACCTGCCGCGCGGACGACGCTCCCCCGTGCGTGCGCGCCCCGTGCGGAATGCGCGCGCCTGGGTAGGGCCGAGTACCACTGGCCTCAGAAGTGCTCCAACTGATGGGCCACGCAGCGACGGGAAAAAAGGCGATTCTTAAAAGCGCGGGCAAAGATGCCAACTCTGAACCTGGCGGATGCCGAGGGCAATTTAAATCCCCCTGCAGTGGGCGGCGGGCCGCAAGATTGAGGCTGGCGTTATCGTAGCCCCTCGGCTGGGTTCGTGTTGGGCGAGTCCTGCCATGCAGCCTTCTACTATGTGAGTTCCCCCCCTGGGCCTCCCCCTTCTCCTCTCTTTCCATTCCATCGCCGCCCAACTCCGCATGCCGGGCGTGGCCTGCTGCAGCAGCGCGGACCTGAGTTCGATTGCGCCGAATTCGTCGCAACGCATTGCCCGGGCTCGTTTCGCAATGTATTCGCCGTGGCGCGCCTGACGCCGCAGCCCGCTCTCCACCCCGCTCAATTACCTCATTATCCCCCTCCTTCCATCCCTGGCTCCTTTTAGTGGCCGGTGCCCGTCGCGGCGCAGTCTCAGCCGTTGCACTCTGCGCGCCCTCGTGGGTGCCGCAGCCGCAGCAAACTGCGCGACGATTCGGAGCGTCGCTACCCAATTTAAACCGTTGCGCCCATCTGAGTATCGCTGTTGCTAAGGAGCAAACTCGATGAAACATCCACCTTTCGCTCGGCAATGCGCGGCGGAGAAAATCGCCCCCCCTCAGGCTCGGCCCCCCTGCGCCCCCAAGGCGCGCATTCGCGTCGAGGGTGCTCGCGCCGCTCAGCGATGCAAGCATGTGCCCAGCATCCCTCTTCATTGCATGTTTCGCGCCCCCTGTCCCTCTCTCTCTCTCTCTCTCTCTCTCTCTCTCTCTCTCTCTCTATCTCTTTCTCTCTCTCTCTCTCTCTCTCTCTCTCTCTCTCTCTCTCTCTCTCTCTCTCTCTCTCTCTCTGCTCTCTCTCTCTCTCTTTTTTTTTTTTTTTTTTTTTTTTTTCTTTCTTTCTCTCTCTCTCTCTCCTCTCTCTCTCTCTCTCTCTCTTCTTCTTTCTCTTTCTCTTTCTTTCTCTTTCTCTTTCCTCTTTCTCTTTCTTTCTTTCTCTCTCTCTCTCTCTCTCACATTTCTTTCTTTCTTTCTTTCTTTATTTTTGGTTCTCTCTCTCTCTCTCTCTCTCTTTCTCTCTCCTCTCTCGCTCTCTCTCCTCTCTCTCTCTCTCTCTTTCTCTCTCTCTCTCTCTTTTTCTCTCTCTCTCTCTCTTTCTTTCTTCCGTTCTTTCTTTCTTTCTTTCTTTCTTCCTTTATTTCTCTCTCTCTCTCTCTCTCTCTCTCTCTTTGTTTCTCTATCTCTATCTCTCTTTCTTTCTCTCCCTCTCTCTCTCTTTCTCTCCCTCTCCTTATCTTTTTAATTGTTTGTTTGTGTCATGTTATACATATATATATATAGGTGTGTGCTCTCTCTCTATCTCTCTGTCTATGTATATATATATATATATATATATACATATGCGCCCCCCCCTCCCCGTATCTCTCCCCCTTCCTTCCCGTTCGGCGCGTTGCGTCGTCGCGGTCGCGGCCGCCGACTCAGGGCGCGTTTTGGTCACTCGGGCCATCTCGAGAACAAATTCGTCAGAGTGCCCGACTCCTCGGGGCGTGAATCTAGCGGCGGCCCCCGCGGGGCCCGCGCCTGAGGCGCGTCGTCTCGATGCAGTGCGCGCGCCAGTCAAACGCGCTGCGCGGCCTCGGCACGCGCCGCATTCAAGCCCGCAGGCCCGAGCCGATGTCAGCAACGCCCAGTTGCAATTCGCGCCTGCTATGGGCAGCTGGTCCAGCCCGGCGTCTACTCTCGAAATCTACAGAGAACGCGTCGCCGACGTTGATCATGCTATCCTCGACCAAAGGTGGGAATAATCTAGGAGACTTGCCTGCGCGAGATCCGTGCGGGTTCATGTCAACGGAGACGAGAAGCAAGAGGAAAGCTCCCTCTTGCCGTTGGACACTGCGGTTTAATTCTCGACGCTTCGCGCGTCCCCACCAGCTCATCCTGCGCCAGGCGCTCGAACGAAGAGCGCCGATGATCGGCGGCTGTTCCCCTCCCCCTCTTCCTCCTCCTCCGCCTTCTCCTCCTCCCCCCTCACCTCCTGCTCCTCCTCCTCCTCCTCCTCCTCTTCCTCCTCATCTTCCTCTTCCCTGGTGGCGTCTTGGAAGTATATTCGAACGTTTTGGTGGGCTCTTGGGCCTCGCGGGCGGGCGGGCGGCGCTCCGTCCGCCCGCGCGCAGGGCCCGAGAGGGCGTCCAAGACGTCTCTCGGATCCATCTTGGAGGAGATCGATCAACGAGGGGGGGGGTCCTAAATTTCAGTCCCCCCCCCCATCAGGAGCCGCGATCCTCGTGAGGGGCGGGGTCGATCTTGGGCGCTCTGACCGATCGCGGCCCCCCCTGTCCAGGTCAATGGGGGAGGGGGTAGGGGGAGGGGTAAACCCCTCCCCGAAGGGGAACAAGGAGGGGTGGAAGAGGAAACTCGTTAAACCACCGACGCCCTAAAGGGCTGGTGGGATTCGCGCTACTTTTCGCAGCGATGGGCGCCGTGAGTTGGCGAGCCAGCCAGCTCGACAGATCCGCTGTCAAAGCTTGGCACCCCCGCCGCAACATGTCTTCCGTGTTCGACGCTTGCATGGGCGAACGGGCTCGGCACTTTTGGCGCGGGCTCATAAGGCGCGCCGACCACGGTGCGCGCGGGAAGCGCGCAATCAACGTAGGCGAATTGGCACCTTTTGTCCAATCCAGTCGGAGGAGTGGCACCGCTGTTGGTCTTTTGACGCTGCTATGGGCGCGTTCTTTCTTTTGCTCCGGCATCAGACGGGCGTTCGAAGCCATCGCCCTCCGCATCTGCGACGTTCATTGGAAATCCGATCGCGCGGCCCGCTGCGTTCTCTCTGCGAGGTCGAGAGCCCGCGCATCTCTACCCGGTGATGCAGGGGCTTTTTTCCTGCGCAACAAGCGGTGTGTCAAGACCGATGTTGGCGGACTTCTGGCGCGAAATAATGCGATCTTATTTCCCGGGCCCATCTACTAGCGCCCGCTCCTTCCGGAGAGGGGAAGCGAATGGTGCGCGCATTCTGTAATTATCCCAGTGCGACCCTACCTAGGAGTTGGAGCCCCTAGGAAGCCAGCATTAGTAATAACAGTAAAGCTAAACTAAAGCTGAGCTAAAGCTGAGCTAGAGCTAAGCTAAAGGTCAGCTGAAGCTGAGCTAAAGCTAAGCTAAGCTGAAACTAAGCTAAAGCTAAGCTAAAGCTAAGCTGAAGCTAAGCTAAAGCTAAGCTAAAGCTAAGCTAAAGCTAAGCTAAAGCTAAGCTAAAGCTAAACTGAAGCTAAGCTAAAGCTAAGCTACAGCTAAGCTAAAGCTAAGCGTAAGCTAAGCTAAAGCTAAGCGGAGCTGAAACTGAGCTAAAGCTAAGCTAAAGCTAAGCTAACGCTAAGCGAAAACTAAGCGATAGCTAAGCGAAAGCTAAGCTAAAACTAAGCTAAAAATAGGCTAAAGCGAAGCTAAAGCGAAGCTAAAGCGAAGCTAAAGCGAAGCTAAAGCTAAAGCTAAAGCTAAAGCTAAAGCTAAAGCCCCCAGGGGACTGGGGGAACCACTCCCAAGGGACCGGGGAAACCGCCTGGGGCGGTTAGCACTGCCCGGCCCTTTAAGCCAACGGGTAAGAACCCTTCTAGGCAGAGCC